AAATACATCTTAATGATGTCCCCTCATCTTCTTTGCCTCGCAAGTTCAATTTATGCATTCATACAGAGAATACATAAACTGTGTCAAAAACTTATATCATCTGAAAAGCTATTGGCAAATTCAAGGTATGAATATAATGTTATTTGTGTGTGCAGGTCATGAGGATGCGTCCTGTGACACCAGTATATGACCCCTGGCGTATACCACGCAGTTTTGATGCTCGCAACAAGTGGCCTGGGTTAATAGAAGGAGTCCGGGATCAGGGGTGGTGTGGATCATCGTGGGCACTGTCTACAGCATCTGTAGCATCTGATCGTTTCGCTGTCATGTCTCGAGGGCTTGAGAAGGTGCAGCTGTCAGCACAGCATCTACTATCTTGCAATAATCGTGGGCAGAGGGCATGCCAGGGTGGCCATTTGGATCGTGCATGGCTCTTTCTTCGCAAGTTTGGGTTAGTAGAACAGAGTTTTCTAAATTATGTGCAAGATGTGTGCATACAGACTGCCTAAATCTAACAGCAAAGGCCTTCTATAGAACAGTAGGCACTCAATTGAAGTAAGTATTACTGGTGTCAGAAGTTGGATGAAATGAATTATTGGCCTGAAGACTGCATTGCATAGCCATATCATCATACTACAGAAATGAAACAAATTCTAGAATGCCTGCTGGCCGTGGAAGTAGAAGTGAAAGGCATTAGAGAAAAGATGGAGGTCAGTCAGGAAAAGTAGAAGGCCATTCAAGGAAAGATAGAGGCTAACTAGCAGGAGATGAAAGCTAGACATGAAGTGAAGACTGCGATAAATTCCATCCTGTCTGAGCTATAAGAGACCATCACAAATCGAATGGAAACTGAATGTGAGGATATCTATAACACAGCTGGAGTTACTGGTCTCACTCAATAAGTGGGCCTGAAGCCTCTGCGTGAAGATGGAGGACTCAGAGAAGGATCTTCACCAGGCTGTAGTGGATCGGAGGAAGGACCTTCACAAGGAGCTCGACGTCAGGACCAAAGGATTATAGATTGAGATAGAAACCGCACAGTGCAAGATCCAAACGCAGCTGAAAGAAGTAGAAAGTTGAAGCTCAGGCCGCCCGCTTGTGGCAGGCGAGCATTTCACTATTAAAGTTTGAGCTGACCATGGATCTGGCAGGAGAACAGGAATTGGCACAGGCTTGGCGCAGCCACCTAAATTAGACGGGTTGACCTCATGGGCCTTGTTCCAGTGGCAGTTTGACTGCTGAACACGACACGACTGAATGTTCTGTGATAAGGCTGCATACCTGATCGCCGCCTTGTGTGAACCCACAGCACACATTCTACATGGCGCCTCTAGCGCGGTGACATATGAAGAGGTCATGAGAATCTCCATGGTGACTACCACCAGGACAGAAGCATTCCACACTTAGTCAAAGAGAAAGACCCTGAGCGTATGGTAATCCCAGAAGGAGTTCGCCGCCTCCATGGACCACTTGGCTTACCGTGACTATGGCATGCATTCACCGTTGGAGTAACGGAGCAAGAAGGAGTTGCTATCTAGTTTTGGCATGCAAGAAAACACTCATCAATGCCTTCACTGAGGCCCTTATGCCAGAAACAGGTGATATTGCAGCCTGAACCTGGGAAAAGATGCTCATGACATGAGTTGGTGTTGTGGGAGCACCCTCCACCTATGAAGAGATTGCCCCTATGAATTGGACAAAGATGACAACTGGCTCTGGAGGAACGACCGGGAACCAGCAGGAAGAGATGACTTAGGACACCGAAAGGCAGCAGCAGCCTGTGCATATAGAATTGGGGTGCTCACAGGGGTACTTTCGGCAGTTAGGAGGAACTGCAGAGTACTTTCAGCCATTAGGAGGAACTGCAGATGGTGGTACCCCCACAGACACTTTCCAGGGAAAGATCGACCAAGACTGAAGAAACGACTAGAAGAGAGGGATAAGGTGACAATGGTTTCATCACTCGTGCCTCCTCATTATGCACTCAGTGTGCCGGAGAAGGCCAAACAGTCCGCATGCTGGGGCAGGAGCAAGTCATGGCTAGGAGACAGTGAGTTGCAATTGAGAGAGAGTTATGAGGCAGTTGCCAGCCAAAAGGGTGTGAACATGGAAGTGTCGGTGCATAAAGTTGCACTGCACATCCTGCTGCATGTTACTTGTTTTCACTTCTTATTTCGCCATCTCACATACAACTTAAATCCTTAAAATTCACTTTGAATTTTAAATCACAGGTGCACTACATGTTTTGACCCATATGGTCATTATCAGGTTTTTCGATATTGATAGTGGGAACACCTGCACTTTTGTCAATGCATGCAAATCCAAATTTTACCAGTTTACACGCCGATGTGTTGAGGGCTGTTACCGGGGAACAGCTGGTGAAAACAGAAGGTTAGTGTGTACTGTAGTAAGAATTAAGTAAAAGGTAATGTCCCTGTGCATAATTAGTTAAGCACCATGCCATGAAGATATATGGGGGAGTGGAGGCATAGCTCAACCTTTCTTGACCTCAACACTAAATGGAAGTGAGTGGTCAGCTTCACTCCCCTGCCTGTCTAGATGCTATAGAGAAGAGACAAATCATGCACTGCCGGGCACTGAAACCAGACCATCCAGCCTATAGCCCATTGCTATACTGACTGGGTTATCTCAACTCCTAGTGAGAAGTAGATGGCGTGAATTAATGAGAGAGTTATAATTACTTGTAGTTATGATTTAAGAGTCCAATAAATCCAATTACCAATTCAAACCCTGTGTCTAGTCACTAACAAGTGAGAACACTGTGTAAGTATGTTTGAATTTATGAACACGCAAAGTATGTTTAGAATAGTGACAAGGAACATTTTAATGGTGATCTAACGGTCTACATCACTACCTGAAAATGACATACCTGCATTCCCATGATAGGTGAAGTACATAGTGATAAACAGTTTGCAGTGCCTTTAAAAAAATTAATATATTCTAAATTGACATGGTGTTGCTAACTGGTTGTATGTATGGAACTAATTCTGTAGATGTCTGAAGGATGCTGAATAAAATTGCTTTTTGTTTCATGTTGTGTAAATGATAATAAGATACGATAATAAGATACAGTGATAATGCCACTGCTGAAGCAGTGATGATAGCAATAAGAAATGATTACAACACTGGCATGATAAAGTAACTTTTTAAGAGGTTTGCGGTGGCAAATGAATTTGGCATGTGGGGTTTTGCGCAATATTTTATTCCCAATCATTTTTAAAAATATATATTATCTGTACTCGTAACACTTGTAATGGATAACAGTTAAATACTAATATCAGAATTCTAGTGTTGGAGTAAATTTTATAGCAGAATGAAATCTATGAAAACATATTTCCAGTGTCTATACTTAGCAATAAAAATGTAAATAAAAATAAATCTTAGTTGCAAATCAGTGTGTTAATGTACAGTTATGTAATGGAAGTGAATTTCAACTGAAACTATGACTGATCAAGGAACCATTCAGACATCTTGAAAAGATTCTGCACATGATATTATTACAGTGAATTCAATGAATTATGTTATCCCTGCACAGCAGGAACTTGGATAGGTGTTGATTGCATGCGTAATGCTCAAACATGGTCATATCTTGGACTACCACCTCATTTCCTTCTACATGAGAATTTTGTTTCTGTGACACGTGCATCTGATGCTTTTACAGTGTGGTAGATGAACCTTGCTATCCATATACAGCAACATCAGGGTTCTTGGAAAGGTGTCGACTGCCTAAGCGGTCAAACCTTCTTACAGCTCGCTGCAAGCCTCCAGCCCATCCCCAGACAGTTCTACGTACTGAACTCTATCATATGGGTCCAGCATATCGCCTTGGCTCCGAGCAGGATATCATGTATGAAATTATGGAGTCTGGACCAGTTCAGGGTACAGTACAACATTTAGAAGCATTCTTATCAGAAACTGACAACATTTTTGCATGTAATCAGCTTCTTGTGCTTTCTTTATATGAAACACATAAAATTAACCCATAGTTAACAAATTTCTCATCCATCAGTCAACCCACGTGTATATGAATTACTGTGTTCCATACCAGTTTAGTATTACACCTGCTCTGCAGGAACCTTAAACTCAACCACATTTCTCAAAGGCATCATACAAAAAAGGGATTGGTTCAGCAGGCAGTATATTTCATTATAGTCTGCAACTTTTCTTGAACCACTTTTCGTGCAGTACTTAGGAAGTACATTTTCTTTGTCTTTCCATTTACAGAATAAATATTTAGTTTACATCTTCCTCTTAAATTTGTTCATGCTTGTGAAAAGTGTCATTTAATTTTTACTGTGTATTTTATCAATATTCTTATCCTTAAGTGTAGGTTCCATATAAAGGTTATTTTCAGTGCTTTTTCTCACATGACATACATTGTTACAGCTACCATGAAGGTGTATCAGGACTTTTTCTTATATCGGGGTGGAGTGTATCATCGCTCAGATTATGGACCTCAATCCGTAAGTGGCTACCATTCAGTGCGTATCATTGGCTGGGGTGAGGATGTGACACAAAGAGAACCCATCAAGTACTGGGTGAGTGTAAGCTGTTGTTATGAATTCCTTGCATGGAGTGCATAAAATAAAAGCATAATAAGTGGCATGTTTATTCGTCCATCAGTTCATTTGTCTCTAAACCTATTTGAAGAATTTCTGTTACATTTGGTACTGACAGTTTTACGGCGATTTTCACTTTAATATTGTAACCTGGATAGCCAGAGCATTGCCAGGTAAATGGACTGGTAAACACACGATATACTTGCAACAACGGAACAGCGAGGTTATGCAACCTTCTTCTAGGCAACTGCTCAGTAAACAGACTTCTATGCAGGCGCAATGACATCACACTGCAACAGTACTATCACGTGACTTGTCTTCTGTGGTCAGTGCGGAGGCTGTATAACGAGATTCCAGGATTGACCAAGGCAGTAATCCATGTTGAGGTGGGGTTGAATACCTCCACCATGACCCTGTGAATCATAGGAGGCGACAAAAAGGGAAGTCTCAAATCTGAGACAGTAAAATATGGTTGTGAGTCCCAAAGAACTTGGACCAGAGAAAGACTGCACTAGCAAGGGCCAGCATCATTTACAAGCGACAGACCCATCCTCACATCAGAGAGGGCACTCCCAGACAAAAAATGAAAACAATACTGTAACTGTGAAATAGTATGGTCGGTATCTGATCATGAGCCCCTCATGGTTTTCAGAGTCTTTGATTGTGTTTCAGTAACAGTAAGAGAGACAGCAGCGGGAAGTTCATAAAAGACTTGTGAAGATTTAAAGTGCTAGTTGAAGGCTGTGTTTTATGTGTGATACTGGGAGGGTGTGATCCAGTGAGACTGTTATAGTTGGTGATGAGATATACTATTACCAGGAGAGGACTGGTGTATGGGTGCAACAGCCAATTATGAGGTATATGTAAATCAGCAATAGCACTGTAGTTTAAGTGTAATTAAGAGAGAGAGAGTGTAACCAAGGTGTTAATAAATCATCCGAAGTAGAACCCGTCGTTCTCATCACGTGTACCACCCCAAAACACGTGACAGTATTAGTGGTTCTGATGGTGGTTGACAATTTAGAATAATCTGTAACATATTTAAAATTATACAAGTTTTCGAAGTTTTCATGCTGGTGATTGCTCAGATTGAGACTTTCTGGGTTGTGACACTTCTGATGTTTGAACCATAGTTTGAATATTTAAAGTTGCAAGCAATAAGTTATGACTGAACTGCATTCTGAACGTATGACCTTCCGCCCACAAGTCCAGCTTGCTAGTCCTTGAGGTAAATTTATTTATATTGTTTGATTATAAATCTAAATATCTAAATAAGACATTAACAGCAAAGTATTTAGTAGACTGGAAGTCTGCAATAGGAAGTTTGAGTTTTACCTGAAATTTGTAATATTTTCTTGTTTTGGTTATTCTGTGGGGAAATGACTGTTGTTAAGTAAGAAATTAGGCCCTAAAGATATACAAATTTTGAAGGTAAAAAAAATAAATTCCCGTTTCCAACTTAGCAGGATTTCCAGCTACTCTGAAATATTTTAGTGATTTCCCTCGTTCTTTCCAGTCAAATTGTGGGTAGCATTTTACGTTCTGTGTTTGAGAATGAGGTGCTCTTGAGAACGTTTGGAACTAAAAGAGAGGTAGTAATAGGAGAATGAAGAAAATTACATTATGAGGAGCATCATAATTTGTACTTCTTGTTCACTGGTGATAAAACCAAGGCAGTAAGATGGGTGGGCCATTTAGATTGTGTGGGGACAATGAGAAATGTACGAGAGTTGGAACTTTAATAGTGGCAACTATTTATTTACAACTGATACAAAATAGATGCATGTTTCGAAGTTCTATTGTCCTTCAGTGTAGTCACCAGCATTGTGTACAACCTGTTGCCAGTGATGTGGAAGTCATAGGATACCTTTAGCAGCGCCTGTTGTGTTGATAGTTCGAATGGAGTGGTCTACTGCCTGAAGACTCTCTGAAACAGTTCTGAAGCAAATGCCATGAAGTGGTTCCTTAATCTTAGGAATCAAGTCGAAGTCACAAGGGCTTAAGTCCGGGGAGTATGGGGGATGGTACAGCACTTCCCAGCTCCATTGATCGAACAAATCAGCCACAGCTTGCGCTGCATGCGGCCGAGCGTTGTCCTGCAAATTGATGGGTGGGTTCTGCAGAAAGTGTCGCTGCTTCTTTCTCAAAGCTGGTTGCAGGTTGTGTTCCAAAAATGGAAAGTAATACTGAGCACTGACGGTCTGCTGTCGAAGAACAGTATGTGTTAGGATAGCACCATCACAGTCTTACACGAGAATCACCATAACTTTCACATTGCTGGGGTTCTGACGAGCTTTTGATTTTCGTGGTGACCTGTAATGACGCCATTCGTTTGATTGGCGTTTCATTTGTGGCTCGTATGATTTGGCCCATGTCTCATCCAGNGGTGTTCCTTCAGAATGGGAAGCACAGTCATATGCGCTAATCCTGTCTCAAGAGCCAGCTAACGAATCTTATGGCGTCGATCACTCTCCAGTAACGTGGAAAGAGCATAACACTTCTTCACTGACACTAGGATGACCTGGCCGTCGCATGTCTGCCACATTTTGGCGTCCCTTGTTGAAGGCTTTTACCCACCTTGCCACTGTTCTGTAAGGCAATGCATATTCCCCACAAGCCTCTTGAAGACCTTGATGACACTGTTGTGGTGTATGGCCTCTGGCACATTCAATCTTCATCCAACTCCGTTGTTCCTGTTTCGAAAACATCGTGACAACACTACATTAGACCGCCAGCTAACACGAGACTCTGTTCTTCTCGTCTCTGTACATGCGTGTGATGTGGGAAGGTAGAGTCCATTTGCTCTGAGTTGAAGTAGATATGTAACTAATGTGTGCGACATTATTTCGTTCCGTTGCATGGCGTCTCTACGGCAGTGTTGTTACTATTAAAGTTCCAACCCTTGTATATAAAATTTGAATTAAATACCTGATGGGAATATCTCACTTAGGAGGATAATGTTGAAATGTATATTAATGACACAAGTTTTGACGGCCTTGATTGGATTAAACTAGATCAGGGTAGAATCCAGTGGGAAACTGCAGCAAAAACAAATAGTAAACCATGATAGGTCAGTAAAATACTGGGGATTTCCTGGCCATTTGAGTGACTATCATTTTCTCATGGTTGATCCTGTCAATGAATTTAAGTTAGTAATTTAGTTTGTTACATTATCCTGCCTTAGCATATAAAGTGAGGCTCATTATGTGGCACTTTATCAACATATGACTTGTGTTCGAGGAGCACCAATTGAGAGACTGGAGANAGTGGAGAAACTGTTTAGGAAGAGACTGTGGACCTGTCGTCTGACAGATCACTGATGATGATGATGATGAGGATGGAGACAGATCCAGTTTCCGAAACGTCGTGTTTTTATTTGTTATCTTAAAAACCAGGACAATGGATAAGTCCAAAAACCCAACATATCAGTGTGTTATACACCATCGTCAGAATCCTATAGTAATTACTTTGATTTACACTTCATATGTTGTATCTTAGCATCCTGCTGCAGTTGGTATTAGAACTTATTTTCAGTTGTTTACCATCCACAATGTAACAATATCAAGATTTTAAATTGAGTGAATTTTAAAATCTTGATATTGTTGCAGTGACAAATTCTAAAAGGACTTTAAAATTTTGATATTGTTCCATGATGGATGATAAACAAGTGAAAATTAAATACAAATTTATGCTGTTGGACAGATGCTGGAGCTGTTCATATGATTTGTGTACTGAAGTTGTACCTCAGTCATTGCTTAACCACCATCAAAGAACTCCAACATCTCACTTCACTGAATAATCAATGGTGTATTTAAACAAGTACAAGTTATTCGTTATCATTTATCATATACAATCAATTACAACACAATTAGATTGTCTGTGCATCTGATATGTTTCGACATTTATGATACCATCTTAAGAGATATCTGTTAATTGACTGTAGATGATAAATTATGATAAATAACGTTATGTATTACAACTGTATGCATCTCAACATTAAAATAAGTAAAAGGTAGTTATGCTCATTCAGTTTTGTACTATATATGTTTTGCATAGGTTATGCTTTCTGTGTTCATCCCAAGTGATTCTCTTACCTTAATACAGTGATTTAGGAATTCAAGGACTTGTAAGCTGAAGTAACATTATGCAGCTTTAAATGCTGCTCTTATTTTCAAAGGAAGTTCCAAACTCAAGGAGAGGAGAGTGAATAGAAGAGAAATTTTTAAATGGCATAAACTCTTCAAGGAGGTACAACTGTGACACAGTCTGAAATATACAAAATTGAAGTTTTCAGCATTCATTTGACACTTGACTGGAGAATTGGAAGAAATGTATTGCATCAGTAGAGTACTTTGAGTGATGCAGAGTGCCACTGGACAATAATGTTGAACAGAGTGATGGCAGGGACACTTAACAAATTACTGTCCATGTAATTAACCCCTTTGAGCTACACTTCGTTTCAGTGTCTGTGGAGTGACCATAAGCAAAGACAAGGTACAGGAGTGTGACAAATAGAAACCCAGTTCACAAAAAACAGACATTTTTGTCAAAGATTTTCAAAATTATGATTGCTATCTGTTAGCAGTTATCCAGAATTGACTATCTTAATGACACCACTGTACATAGTATGATAAATTTACTTATTTCATGCTGCCTCACATGCTTCTTGGAGCTTGCATGTCTGCTTGCCAGTAAGAGGCAAGCATAATGTCAGTATTTGCTCTGCATGTGTATGTGTTCACTTAATAGTTATCATGAAGGGTAACGGACATGAACTTTTCCCAACAGATTTAAATTTTGGCTCTTCACTGCTTTTCTGGTGTGTAGTAATTTTGCCTTGGTTGCAAAATGTTAACTGTAATATAGCAGCCATCATAAATTTGCATCAGGTACATTGTACACAACAACTGCACCGCCATCTATTGCCATCACTGCCAAAAATCTAATCTTCCATTCCTTGAGGGAAACCAAAAGTATAATTAATTTAATTCCTATGAAAGAGTAGTAGCAGCCTCCATAGTCTAGGGGTAATGTTCCCACCTCATGACTCAAGGTACGCAGGTTCAAAAACCTGGCGGAGGTCGTGGAATTTTTAAGGGCGGAAAAATTCAGGGAACAAGTCCTCCGGGAGGAACTTTAAGCCGTGGGTCCCGTGTCGTAGATTTACGGCATGTAAAAGAACCTCATATCTCTAGGAGACCTCTGAGCAAAATTAGGCCAAGTTTCCTGCCCAACTAGTTTCCAATTCCTCTGGTAGGTGGGGCAAGTATCAGGTACCACTGCCAGAGGAGGGGGGACCTCTCTGACAGAAAGGGACTAAAGTATTAGATACCACTGACAAGTAGAGGGTAGAAACCTTGCTGGCAGAAAGGGACTAGGAACCCCTGCCAGAGGAGGGATGACCTCGCTGACAGAAAGGGACTAACTATTA